CCCCGCCCCCCACCCCCGGGAGTGGAGGTGGCAGCCCTTCCTTGCTGCAGGTCGCGGGGCTCCTGAATGCAGGCCCCACCTGTGCCTCAGGCCGGTCTGTTCCTTTGCTCATTGGTCTGTCCAGTCCCTCCACTTGAAGAGAATGTGGCCGCAGCAGAAACCCCGGAGGGATGCTCCCTTCTGGGAAGAAAGGGGAGACTAATGCTGTTTTCAGATTCCACACTGCAGGACTCTGGGGTCCTGCCATGTGCTCAGGCTCCCTTTCCTTTATAGTCTGCTGGTCTTATAATTCCTTCCTTCCCTAGATGACTGAGTACTTTGAAGTCTCTGCCATTAAAGATGTCAGGGCAGCCTGTCCTGTCTGTGACCCTGTTGCCAACATTTATGGTCCAGTTCATGATGGTTCTGGGCCCCTCCTTCCTTCCTGTCCTGCCTTCGAAGTCAGAGGTCTGGGTGGAAGGTCAGTGCCCCTCCTGAGGGGGCCGTCCCAGAGAAGGAGGACTGATTTATGGTGTCCAGGAGGAGCTGGGCCGCTGGAAAGCCTGGCCAGCCCCTCCAGGCCATCTCGCCTGGCCTCCGGCCTTGCCCCAGGACAGGGCAGTGGTCTCAGGCTCTGGCAACTCAGCAAGGTCCTGGCTCTGCTCGTGTATCCCCCCTGCACACACTCAGGCATTCTGCCTTCCTTGGGGCACTGCTCCGGGCCCCGGGATCCTCCCTGAGGGAGCAGTGATCTCCGTGCTCCCACAGGAAAGCAGGCTCAGCAGGAGGGGCAGGATCCTTGGCCCTGGGCAAGACCCTCACAGGCCCAGCCTGGCATCAGGCGAGGCTTCCTCCCTGGCTGCTGATGCCCCTCCAAGCCTGGGGCACCTTCCCCTTCTCCCTCCAACACATACTGCTTGTGTTTTTGTGTTTTCTTTATGTCTGTCTCTCTTTTTAAAATTGTGGTCCAAAACTTGTACACTTTACCATCTTGACCATTTTTAAGTGTACAGTTCAGTGATATTACCTATATGCTCGTTGTTGTGCAAACCGATCTCTAGAACTTTTTCATCTTGCCAAATGGAAACTCTATATCCATTGAACAGCAACTCCTCCCCTAGCCCTGGGCAACCACCTTTCTACTTTCTGTTTCTAATTGTGACTACTTTGGACATCTCATGTAAGTGGATTCAGGCAGGATGTCTCCCTCTGTGAGCTTATTTCACTTAGCTTTAATGTTTTCAGGGTTCATCCACATTGCAGCATGTGTCAGGATTTCCTTCTTTTTAAAGGCTGAATAATGTTCCGTTGTATGGGTGTGCTGCATTTTCTTTATCTGTTTATCTTCTCATGGACATTTAAGTTGCTTCCACCTCTTGGCTATTGTGAATAATGCTGCAACGAACATGGGTGTGCCAGTATCTCTTGGATATATTGCTATATCCAAAAGCATATTGCTATATATATATAATCAGTCCAGAAGTAGGATTGTTGGATCATATGGTCATTTTGTTTTTAATTGAGTAATCTCCATACTGTTTCCCACAGTGGTTGCTCTTTCACATTCCCACCAATAGTGCACAAGGGTTTCAGCTTTTCCACATCCTTGCCAACACTTGTTATTTTTTTCTTCTTTTCTTTTTCTTTTTTTTTTTGTTTTTTTGGTTTTTTGCTTTTTAAAGATGATGTTGGGGGTAGGAGTTTTAATTAATTAATTTTTGCTGCGTTGAGTCTTCGTTTCTGTGCGAGTGCTTTCTCTAATGGTGGCAAGCGGGGGCCACTCTTCATCGCGGTGTGCGGGCCTCTCGTTGCAGAGCATAGGCTCCAGACGTGCAGGCTCAGTAGTTGTGGCTCACGGGCCTAGTTGCTCCATGGAATGTGGGATCCTCCCAGACCAGGGCTCGAACCCATGTCCCCTGCATTAGCAGGCAGATTCTCAACCACTGCGCCACCAGGGACGCCCCTATTTTTTTCTTTTTTGATAGTGGCCATCCTAATGAGTGTGAGGTGATACCTCACTGTGGTTTTGACTTACGTTTCTCTGATGATTAGTGATGTTGAGTATCTTTTCATGTGATTGTTGGTCATTTGTAGGCCTTCTTTGTACAAATGTCTGTTGAAGTCCTTTGCCTATTTTAAAATGGGATTGTTTGTATTTTGTTGTTGAGTTATAGGAGTTCTTCATATATTCTGGATATTATCCCCTTATCAGATAACATGGTTTATAAATATTTTCTCTCATTATGTACGTTGCCTTTTTACTCTCTTGATTGTTTCCTTTGCTGTGTAGACGTTTTGCAGTTTCGTTGCTTGTGTTTTTGTCACCTGTACCAGGTCATTTGAATGGATTTCAGGGAGTTTGAGTGCCCCCTCGAAATTAAATACAGATTTTTATATGTGTGCCTGTGTGTATGTGCATTTTTCTGGAGTGAGGGTCCTTCTGTCATGGTTTGAGAGAAGTTGTCCGTAGGGACTCTGGGTTTTGAGAACAGTGTCACCTAAAACTTGGCATGGTAGCAGTGCCCCAGGACCCTCTCTTCCTCTTAATTTTTTTTTTAATTAATATTTTTGGCTGTGTTGGGTCTTCGTTGCTGCGTGTGGGCTTTCTCTAGTTGCGGCGAGCAGGGTCTACTCTGTTACGGTGGGTGGGCTTCTCATTGCGGTGGCTTCTCTTGTTGCAGAGCATGGTCTCTAGAGCACAGGCTCAGTAGTTGTGGCACCCGAGCTTAGTTGCTCCACTGCATGTGGGATCTTTCTGGACCAGGGCTTGAACCCATGTCCCCTGCATTGGCAGGCGGATTCTTAACCACTGCGCCACCAGGGAAGTCCCCGTCTCTTCCTCTTTAGCCATACTTTCTCTTTCACCCTCACCTTCCCTCCAGTGACCCAGGTCCAGTTACAGGAAGCTGTCTCTGCTGTCACCTGTTCTTTGCAGCCCCGGTGTCTGGCCCAGTGCCTGACACAGGGATTGTTGGTTGAAGGAAACCTGACTTTTGTGTGTATCTTCCTCTCCAACCTGGGACTGATGGCAAATGCAACCTTAGCCCGACCCTCACTTGAGGTCCTTGCTCTTCTTCCCGGCTTCGCACTCTGTTGGGGCACTTCCTGCCATGTTTTACCCACCTCTGACCCAGGCAGGCCCACCTCTACTACTCTTCCAGGCCCTTTTTCCTGATGAGTGAGTCTCTCTCTTCCCATGGCGGAGGCTTCCTCCACAGTCTCTCTCTTCCCATGGCGGAGGCTTCCTCCCTTCCCACTGCCCAGCACCCTCTCCCTGTAGCCCTGGCTGGGGTTTCCCCTCCTGCAGTAACTTTGCAGAGACTGGTTCTGTCTCTCCTCGCCTACTTCAGAGTCTGAATGAATGATGACTCTTTTGCCTTCAGTGTTCTATCCATTTTACAGACTTTTCCAGTGATTGGTGGAGTGTATATCCCAGCTTATTTGAAGCTATTCTAACTCAGTTTAATAAAAATTGGTTGTGTGTTTCCTCTGGATCCCAAGTACTGGGAGGTGGACGTTTATAAGGAGGAGAGAGTGAGAGCTTGTCTGCAGGGGTTTATAGTCTAGTACATCAGCTCTCAAACTTTGTGGTCTTGGGACCCCTTTGCTCTCTTAAAAATTAAGAAAACCCCAAAGAGCTTTCATTTATGTGGGTTATTTATTAATATTACTGTAATAAAAAATTTTAAATATTTTGAATTCATTTAAAAATTATAAGAAACCCACTACATGTTAAAATAAACAAAATTTTTAGGAGAAATAACATCTTCCGAAACAAATGATTAGTAGGAAAAATAACACTGTTATATGTTTTTGTAAATCTTTTTTATGCCAGGTTCAGTAGAAAAGACCTAGATTTTCATATATGCTTCTATATTCATTCTGTGATGTTGTTTTGGAGGTACTATATGAGGAAAACCTGGCCTCATAAATATGTGGTTGAAAAAGGGAGGAGTCTTTTTTGGTGGGTGGGTCTGCGCTGCTCAGCTTATGACTGAAAGCGCGGAGTCCGAACCACTGGAAACCTCTGGACTGCCAGGGAATTCCTGGGAGGAGTCTTTTTTTGTTGTTCTTTTTGTTTTTGTTTTTTGTTTTTTTGCGGTACGCGGGCCTCTCACTGCTGTGGCCTCTCCCGTTGCGGAGCACAGGCTCTGGATGTGCAGGCTCAGCGGCCATGGCTCACGGGCCCAGCCGCTCCGCGGCATGTGGGATCCTCCCGGACCGGGGCATGAACCCGCGTCCCCTGCATCGGCAGGCGGACTCTCAACCACTGCGCCACCAGGGAAGCCCATGGGAGGAGTCTTTTAATAGCCTTTTCAGATAATCGTAGATATACTTCTCATCCACCACCAGAGCTCAACAGGTGGCAAGTGCTTAAAAGTTAGTTGCAATATGGAATCTGAAACTGTATCAGTGAACTTTTCCTACTGTTACATTAAAATTCATTAGTCGTTCTTGCCCCTCATTTGCTCATGCCTAATGTTATAACATCAGATATTGGTCATTTGGAAAACACTGGCTCACTGAGTTTTACAGATTTTCCAAATAGGGGTACATAGTGTTATACAGTGTTTAAAAAAAAAACACACATTTGTTAACACCAGCACCAGTGTCCTCAGAAAAGTCTTTAAGTATCGGGAAGCTGTCTAGTTCACGGTGGCTGATGTAAGTTTTCCAAAATTCTAATTTTTGTTTGAAAATTCAAATTTCATCATCTGCAACAAATGTTTTAAGTGATTTTTCTGAAAGTGACAGACTTACTTATTTCATCTTTGAGAAAATGTGCCAATACCCTTTTTTTTTTTTTTTTTTTAAATAATCAGTCATTCTTTCAAGTAAAATGGTGTTCTGTGGAGAAAGTGACCAGTTCAGTTCACGGCTTGATCACAAGAGCTTTTCCTTTAGATAACCGTCACCCTCTGGTATTCAGCTCAAGTAGTTGATGCATACTTCCTATTTTGTCACGCAGAATATTAAAAGAATGTGTACTCGGAGGTCAGAGTTTTAATAAAGTTAATCATTCTTACTTACTGCTTTATCAAAGATATCCTTAAGTGAAACTGGTGAGCTTTTTAAGGAGCATGTGGCCAGGAACGGCCCAGCGACTGCCTGGGCACATCGGAGCCTCTGCCCTGACAAGTGCCAGCAGTCTCACCCACCAGTGCAAGTGTCAACACAGTGAAAAAGGCAGATGATGTCTTAGTGGTATTCTGAAGATAGTTTGACCTCCCTGTAAAAAGTCTTGAGGACCCAGAGTTCTTAGACTGTGCTTTGATAGCCGCTGAAGAGATGCGGCCTCAGCCCCTACAGATCTGGGCTCGGTTCATGCCCCACCTCCTCCCGCAGGTGTTTTCTCATATGTGAGGCTGTCCCTGACCTCTGCATTTCAGCTTAGCCCTCCTTTCCCCCACCTCACTGCTGACCTGGCCCTCCTTGCTTTATTTTTCTCCATTTCCCTTGTCACCATCTAACAGACTCGTCTTCATTTTGCTCGCCTCCCTCCACTAAAATGTAAGCTCAGGATGGCAGAGACTTCTGTCTGTCTGGTTCAGTGCTATAGCCAGAACTTGGAGTGGTACCTGGCACATGGAGGTAGTAGCCGGATAAGTATTTGAATGAATGAATGAATGAATGATGGACAGTGCCTGGGCTGGTTCTCCCCCAGCTCCTGGAAGGCCCGAGGCTAGTACCTCATTGCCTTTGATGTGTTTCCCATGGGGTCCTGGCCGTGCTGACCCCTGTGTGTTCTCCCTGCTCTTCAGCCAGTGCTGCCCCACACCGCCGTGTGTCTAGTGTGTGGCGAGGCAGGAAAAGAGGACACAGTGGAAGAGGAAGAAGGCAAGTTTAACCTCATGCTCATGGAGTGCTCCATCTGCAACGAAATCATCCACCCTGGATGCCTTAAGGTGAGCAGCCTCGGGGGCATCTGGCTGTGCCGCCTGGCGCCTCACCCTGGGCCTCTGGTGGTGCTGATGCTGCGGGGCTTTGGGGGGTGGAGGGGAGTGAGACTAGGTTCCCTCCCTGAAGGACTCTGAGTCTGGGGGATTCTTTGTGACTGATGATGAGCTGAGGGCGAGAAGGTTCTGGAGTCGCTCAGACCTTGCACCCATGTCTTTGCGGGAGTGAAGACACACAGACACACACATTCCACCTCCCGGGACCTCAGAACCACAGAGAGTTCCCAGAGTCTTGCACCTGGGCCAGAGGGAGAGAGTGGGTAGCTGGGCTGCTCTCAGGGCTTCTGGGAAAAGAGGCCTGGGCCAGGGGAGGGCAGGTCCTGTAACAACAGGTGGTTGCATTCCTGTCCCATGTGCCAGGAACCTGTTCCCTTGGTGTGCCCAGGGCAGGACTGCCTCCTGGGGACCGTCGTGCTGTGCCTGCCTGTCTTGGGCAGCAGGTTCCACCTTTGAAAGGAAGAGACTGCTCTGGGCTGGCACATACCTCATACCTCTGCCTCAAGAGAATGTCAGCCTACTTGGCACCTCCCATCAGCCCAGCTCTATCTGTTCAGAAAGATGAGAGTGGGCCTGCCCCAAAGGGTGCTTCAGCTCTGAGGTGTCAGTCCCCTTTCCCTCGGTGCTGGTAGTGGGGTTTGTCGTGACACTCCCCTCTCCCCAGCACACACACCTCCCCCTCTGAATAGGGGTGCTATGCTTTTCCCCTGGCCCCTGGTCACTTCTCTCTCTCCCGGATCAGAAGCTCCAGGGAAAGCACATCTCACTTGCTGATAACCACGCACCCAGTTCGGTGCTGTTAAATGACTGAATGGTTTGTGGGTCCTTGCTGGGTGCCAGGCCCTGAGCTAATTGCTTTCACTAGGTTACCTCATTGAATTCTCACATAACTCCAGTGAGATAGGCACACTCCATTTTATGGCTGAGGGCACTGGCCCACAGAGATGGAGTGATTTGCCCAGGGTCATTGAGCTAGGAAGAGGCAGTATCAGGATTTGAACCCTGGCCTGAATCCAGAGCCACCTGTCTGAACCACTCTTGTTTTCTCTTGGCCAGAGGTGGTATGGAAATGGCTTTTGGGAGGGGGTGTTGATGCTTTTGGCAGAGCTGGCCCTGTCCACCCCCTCCCTGCCTGCTGACTGGTGTGTGTCCCTCCCAGATTAAGGAGTCAGAGGGCGTGGTCAACGATGAGCTTCCAAACTGCTGGGAGTGTCCAAAGTGTAACCACGCTGGCAAGACCGGGAAAGTGAGTGCCGGGCTCCAAGTCCCAGGGGTCAGCCCAGGAGGGGGTAGACCTTGGCCTTGCCAGACCCAGCCTGTCTCCCCACCCACGGCGATGTCGGCTTGAGGGGTACCGCGGACTCGGGGGCAAGGGCACGTCCAAAGATATACAGTTCGTGTGTTCCTTCTCTGTTTTTGGCCTACAAGCAAAAGCGTGGCCCTGGCTTTAAGTATGCCTCAAACCTGCCCGGCTCCCTGCTCAAGGAGCAGAAGATGAACCGGGACAGCAAGGAGGCGCAGGAGCCTGCCAAGCGGAGGAGTGAGTGTGAAGAGGCGCCCCGGCGCAGGCCAGACGAGCACCCCAAGAAGGTGCCCCCTGACGGCATCCTGCGCCGAAAGTCAGACGATGTGCACCTCAGGAGGAAGCGGAAATACGAGAAGCCCCAGGAGCTGAGTGGACGCAAGCGAGTACGACCGGGAGGGACGGGCAGCGAGGGGTGGCCTGGATGGTCCCAGGGGGGAAGGGATGCGCGGGTGGGGGCGGGGATGGGCAGCAGGGAGAGCCGAAGTCACGGAAGTCCTGAGAGCCCGGCCGGAGAGAAAGGAGGGGAAAACCAGCGAGTCACTCCTCTTCCCACCCCTTTAGGCCTCGACGCTTCAAACGTCCCCCGGTTCCTCCTCTCACCTCTCGCCGAGGCCCCCTCTAGGCAGCAGCCTCAGCCCCTGGTGGAGATCCAGTCTCACTTACTTCCAGCAGCAGGTGCTCCCACGTCGCCCCGCCCTCCCCAGGCCCCGGGGACTCGCGAGTCCCGGGCCGCCCCCGCCCCGCCCCACTGGTCCTCGAACCCATTGCCGCAGACCTCCAAGGCACCTGTTCGCCGTAGCTTCCCAGGCCTCAGCCCCGAGGCTCTGGCTCGTGGTTCCGGCGTGGGGCCTGGGAAGCTGAAGCTGCCGCGGGGAAGCCCTGTGGATCTGGGGAACCTCGGAGGATCCTGGCGGCCCCTCTTCGCCCACCGGCCCTTCCAGCATCAGCCACGAGGTGGCGCCTGGTTGTCTTCTCCTCGCTCTGGCCATTAAGGCTCGGCCGGGAATCCTGCAGACCCTGCCTCTGGGACAGGCTGGCTCTCTGAGCCAAGTCCGACCTGAATGGGCGACTGCATATCTCTGGGTCTGTCCAGGGGTGGGAGGTCAGTTGGGTGGGGACAGCTTTATCACTCTCCGCCAGTTCCAGCTTCTTCCTTAAAACCAGCAGGCAGGGCCCACCCATCTGTCAGAGAAGAGAAGATGGGATTTGTTGGGAAGGTGACCCTCCGGCCTCTGTTGGTGGGGCTGGGTGTAGAGGGGACCAAATCCCACGAACCCTGGGAGCAAGCTCTGCATCCTTTCTTTTCTGTGACAGCTAAAACCCGGCAAAGAAGATAAGCTTTTCAGGAAAAAGGTACCATCTTCCGCCCTCACCCCAGGCCTGCTCCTGGGGCAATGGGTCCTGGGGTAGAGGGTGGGAGGCCTGGGTGGGCGCAGCCCCGGGTCTAGGGGCTCACCCCCCCATGCTCCCCCTCCTCCCTCAGCGGCGGTCCTGGAAGAACGCTGAGGACCGAATGGCTCTGGCCAACAAGCCTCTCAGGCGCTTCAAGCAGGAGCCGGAGGAAGACCTGCCCGAGGCGCCCCCCAAGACGAGGGAGAGCGACCACTCCCGCTCCAGCTCCCCCACCGCCGGCCCCAGCACGGAGGGGGCGGAGGGCCCCGAGGAGAAGAGGAAGGTGAAGATGCGCCGGAAGCGGCGACTCCCCAGCAAGGAGCTGAGCAAGGAGCTGAGCAAGGAGCTCAACCAGGAGATCCAGAAGACGGAGAGCAGCCTGGCACACGAGAACCACCAGCCCATCAAGTCGGAGCCTGAGAGCGAGAACGAGGAGCCCAAGCGGCCACTGGGCCTCTGTGAGCGCCCTCACCGCTTCAGCAAGGGGCCCAACGGCACCCCCCGGGAGCTGCGGCACCAGCTGGGGCCTGGCCTGCGCAGCCCGCCCCGAGTCATCTCCCGGCCCCCTCCCTCCGTGTCCCCGCCGAAGTGCATCCAGATGGAGCGACACGTGATCCGGCCGCCCCCCATCAGCCCCCCGCCCGACTCGCTGCCCCTGGATGATGGGGCGGCCCACGTTATGCACAGGGAGGTGTGGATGGCCGTCTTCAGCTACCTCAGCCACCAAGACCTGTGTGTCTGCATGCGGGTCTGCAGGACCTGGAACCGCTGGTGAGGGGCGCCGGCTGAGTTTGGATGGGGGCACCAGGGGGTCAGGCTAAGGCTTAGGCTAGGCCAGGGATGGCGCGTGCATTCCCACTGGAGTCGCTCGTGATGCTCTTTCTTTCTAAGCCCCATCCAGCTTAAGTATCCTCCGCAAAGAGGTCTAGCAGCTGCAGTCAGTGTGGTCTTGTCAAAAGAGGTGAACCCTACTTGCTTTCCTGATTTAGCTTCTTGGAAGATGAACTGAGGACCAGGGGGAGTCCTTGTCCTTAAAGAGCTAGCTCAGGTCACGAGTGCCGCGCCAGTTCCTGATCTTAATCCCTGCTTTGATAGTTCCCAGCTGGAACGGTCTCTGACCTTGGCCAAGTTACTTACCTTCATCTGTGAACAGGCATGATGCAGGGTTGTTTTGAGATATGGCCTGTGGAGGGTGTAATTAAACCCCCAGTAAATACTTTACAGCTTCTGGTACTTTCCATGGGGGTGGGGGGGAAGGGCTGTGACAATCAGAGCAGAGGCTCTCAGGTGCCAGCGAGATGGAAACTAAACAGAAGGGTCCAGGGGACGAAGTTAAGGAGCCTCCCCCTGGGCTTGGTAGGTGGGGGACTGACCACAGCCATGCATGGGGCTCCCCAAGAGAGCTCCCAACTCTGACATTGCCCCCTCTGCTGGGCCTGGACCCCAGGTGCTGTGATAAGCGGTTATGGACCCGCATCGACCTGAACCACTGCAAGTCCATCACACCCCTGATGCTGAGCGGCATCATCCGGCGACAGCCTGTCTCCCTGGACCTCAGCTGGACCAACATCTCCAAGAAACAGCTGAGCTGGCTCATCAACCGCTTGCCTGGTGAGCACTGGGCCAGGGACCCTCAATGTGCAGTAGCAGGGGCTGGGGTGTATCACCTGACCTGCCACCCCCTCTCTGTCCCCCGCCAGGGCTCCGAGACTTGGTGCTGTCAGGCTGCTCATGGATCGCAGTCTCAGCCCTCTGTAGCTCCAGTTGTCCGTTGCTCCGGACCCTGGATGTCCAGTGGGTAGAAGGACTAAAGGACGCCCAGATGCGGGATCTCCTGTCCCCGCCTACAGATAACAGGCCAGGTGAGTGTCTGGGACAGGGGTGTACCCAAGTGGGGGTCACAAGAAGGTGGTATGACCAAGCTGTGCCGTTGGATCTGGTTTTCACCACAGACCCCATCTGGTACTCATGTCTTCAAGCCTTCTCTGGCTTCAGCCCTTCTCGACGCGTAGCTGAGTCCCAGATGCTGTTCTCAGTCAGCTTTGGGTACAAGAGGGGACCCATGAGAGGGCAGAGGCTCCCAGGATGCCACTTTGGGAACTCTGTGCATCTCACTGCTTCTATGTTAATTTGTCCTTCGTTGGCTTTAAGCCTCAAGCATTGGGGTCAGTGTGGCCGGACAGGGCCTCACGGGATGAAGCCCTCCTAGGTCGGGTTGCAGGACTCACTGCTCCCCACCAGTACCTTAAATGAGGAATCTGTGGTGACCCAGAAATGCTGTGCTGTCTGTACTCCAATTGGCTGAGCACTGCTGGATGGAATGCAGGCTCTGTGTTTCTAGGTCTTCTGACTTTTAAAGAATCTACAAGGGTAAAACTTGATGTGGAATATTGTGATTTTTAAATGTTGGAACCAGTTTTGATCTTTTGGGGAAGACACTCAACAGCTAAATGAAACCCAGGTGTTCCACCTGGCTGGTAGGCCTTGTAAAGTGTCATGTTAGGGTGACATGTTGCCTCTCTGTCCTGCCCCCTCAGGTCAGATGGACAATCGGAGTAAGCTCCGGAACATTGTGGAGCTGCGTCTGGCCGGCCTGGACATCACAGACGCCTCCCTGCGGCTTATCATTCGCCACATGCCCCTGCTCTCCAAGCTCCACCTTAGTTACTGTAACCACGTGACTGACCAGTCCATCAACCTGCTCACCGCTGTGGGCACCACCACCCGAGACTCCTTAACCGAAATCAACCTGTCAGGTCAGTCCGGGGCACCCATCGGGGTCTACCCAGGACCCCGGGGGACAGGCTGGGCATTCCTCATTCGAAAGGAAATACTTGTGGGCCTGTTGCTATAGGGTCACAGTGTTAGACGCTACGACACACCAGTGAACAAGACAGACCCACGGCCTAGTCTAGAGGGGAAACACACATTAAACAAATAAGCATTATTAGATTTTAAATAATTGCTCCAAAAAATAGTGCTAGTAGCAGTGAGAGCACATGAGCATATAGGAGTGGATCTTGACCCAAAATATGGGCTAGAAAAGCTTCCCTTGGGTGCTGTGGATGACCTGGCGCCTGGCAGCAGGGGGTGTGGGAGAGTAGCCGGCAGTGAGGCCAGGCTGGGCCAATGGAGTAATAAGCAGCTTGATTTCTGCCATGGTGGTTGTCGCTTATGTGTCCCCCTCCTGACCCTGCTATCAACGGGCCTGTTGTTGACAAGAAGAAAACCCCACAGTGGAGTCCTCACTCCCCCCACTTACTGATGGGGCTGGAGTTGGTTCCTAAGGACTTGGGGCACAACCAATGGGGAGGTGGACAGGGGCAACACTGCCCGTTCTCAGCCCAGTTAATCCAGTTCTCGTCTCATCGCTCAGGATGGTCAGATTGGGCGTGAAGATTTTGACCAGAACCAAAAAAAAAAAAAAAAAAAAGGAGAAAAGAAACTTTTTTCCTCCAGAAATTACCAAGTAATAAATAATACCCTCACCTCATTTAAATTACATTTTGACACAATCCAATCTGATGTCTGGCTTGGTCAGGATTCACATACTGTTTAGCTGTTTCCCTCTCTCCATCCCACATTCATGCCTGAGAAACGCCTTCCTGTTACCAGTGCCACGTCTGAGTGGGAGCTGATGCTGTACCTTAGTGCCTAGGGAGTCCACCCTCGTTCTTGGAGAGTATTGGTGGCGAGGTGTGGGGGCAGGGGGGGTGTTGCAGAGAACAGAGAGCCACACTGAGGTGAGCTTTCACCAAGACCCCAGCTCCAGGCTCAGCTCGTGGTCTTGAATTGATGCTGGGGCCACCCCATGGAGGAGGGCCTGGGGAGCATCTTGTTCTAAAGCGCTTGGTAGTAATGAACTCTTTTAACTAATTCCTATTTAATTACTATGCATGTGTAGCAGAGATCCTAGTATAAATCCCCCTCCCCTGCAGCACAGTCCATGATGTGTGTTTGTATAAATCATCTTTTTGCATTTTGTTTTCCACCACAATCCTTTCAGGTCATCTTTTTGTCTCAGGACCTACATACAGATCTCTGCGTTTGCGTTAAGAGCTGTGATGTATATGAAGGCCAATCTCTCTCATACCCAGTCTCTTCTAGATTCGGTTCTTTTTAAAATGTTTTCCCCTCCTGTCAGTATAACTAGTTAATGATAAAATAAGTCTCTTCCACAAAATGGATGGCACTTGACATGTTTCCAGATCCTTCAGTGTGGTTGGAGGATCAGGTCTAGTGGCAGAGTGAAGCCATGGTTGCTCGAGGTGGCCCTTGGGCTTCCCCTTCCCTGCCCCTGATTTTCACCTTGAGGCAACCACCTTCAACTCTTGAGCTCTTTGTTTCTGTTTACCTCCATTTTTTCCAAACAGCAAGCCTACATTGCTATTTCTTGTTGTTTTTTGTTTGTTTTTGTTTTTCCTATTCAGATGCTCTGTGTTTGTTAACTTGCTATGCAGAGAACAAGGATTACTATTCTTACATTCTCTTACCCTGCTCCCTTTTCTCCCTTCATCTTTCCAATTTGTGGTTAAGTCACTATTACTTACCTTATTATGGCCATGTAAGTACTGTCCACTGTTGAGCCAGTGTGTATTATGGGTGTTTCCTTTCTTGCACATTTTTTGGTTTGTTTTCCCTAGAGTTAATAATTGCCTCATTTTTGTTTGGTTAGTTTCTATAACAGACTTGAGTACTATTCTTTCCCCACGTGAACTCCTCAGGCCCTCAACCAGTCTGTGTAGGAAACCACCCTCCTGGACTTCTTTTCCTCCTGCCCCCACTTGAACTTGGCTGTCTCTGCCTGCTGCACAGCTCCCGTCCTGGGACTTCCTTGATTTCTGTCTTGTGCAGGGACCCTTCTTTCCTTGGTCCCATATCTTCTTTCTTGGTTTATCTGTTCGTTTGGTAGAGGACATCTTCCAGACCTTGTATGTCTGAAAATGGCTGTATTATACCTTCATGTTTAATTGATAGCTTAGCTGGTTATATAGTCCTAGTTTGGGAACCATATTGTTTCACAAAGTGGGAGGCACTGCTCCTTTGGCTTCTGCCTTCCAGAGTTGATGTCCAAAATGATTTGATTCTCCAACCTTCAGTGAATATTTTCTCTCATTGGAAGTTTGTAGAACACGATCTTTTTATTTATTTATTTTTAAAAATTATTTTTTAAAAAAAATTAATTAATTTGACTGTGCCGGGTCTTAGTTGCGGGATGCAGGATCTTCGTTGCGGCATATGGGCTCTAGTTCCCTGACCAGGGATCGAACCTGGGCCCCCTGCGTTGGGAGCACGAGTCTTAGCCACTGGAGCACCAGGGAAGTCCCGTGTAGGACATGATGTTTATCTCAAAGTTTTTTTGCAGTTTTGGTTGATGAGCCTTGGTTTGAGTCCATTTTCAGGGATTGTATTGAGCATTCATGAGTGCTTTCAATCTCTCAATTTGGTTCTGGAAAATTTCCTTGAATTATTTAATTTCCTTCCCTTCTGTTTTCTTTCTGTAGTAGTCCTCTGATACCTTTAGTTTTTTTTCCTTTTTCCCATCTCTGTATCTGGTTTTCCTCCACTTACCACAGAATTCATATACAGCTGACCCTTGAACTAGTTAGGGGCTAGAGGTGCAGCCCTCCTTGCAGTAGAAAATCGAAATATAACTTACAGTTGGTCCTTGGTATCCACACTTCCTCCAAAAACTCAGATTCAACCACTAATTTGTAGCCTGTAATATTTACTATTAAAAAAATCAGCATATAAGTGGACCCGCCAAGTTCAAACCCGTGTTGTTCAAGGGTCAACTGTATTGAGTTTTTCATTTCTGCTTTTTTTTAGGTTCAACCATATGAAGCTGCTTTTTATGTAGGTCAGAAAACAGTCAAATATTGGCAGTTTTCATGTTTTAGCCTATATTTTTAATTTTACAGCTATAGTTTGTTCTCTGAACTTCTGGGGAGTGGCATGTTCTTGTTTCTTGGATCCAGATATTGTCCATCCTGAGGATACTGATGGTTTTTTCTTCTCCACATAGACCATACATTCCTTCAGATGCAGTCAGTGGGCCTGCCTAAGGGGCCCTTCTCAGATTTAGTGTCAACATGAGGTGGTCGGCTCAGGTGATCGGAGGCTCTGGGGACACGGTGGGAGCTGGTCTGCTGTGGGTATCCTTGGGTGGTCAGCATGGGTGGTTTTCTTTGGGGAAACCCAGACGTGACATGTCAGTCTTTCCTCTTAAGCTGGTCATGGTTGCCAAAGGACACTCTTCCTTGACCTCCCAACTGAAGGGCTCAGGCCGGGCTGCCAGGGTTCTAGGGCTTGGCAGGGAGGGAGTCTGGAGGTCTCGACAGTCAGCAGGTAAATTTCCCTGTAACCCCCATTTTTCAGGGGGTGCCCCTACCTTCCACAGTGCCTCGTGGTGCCTGGTCTAGAGACTTTCTCTTGCCCATCAGAGACAAACTCCCCTCTTTTGCTGGGGAAGGGAGTTTCAGCCTCTTACTGCTCCTTAAGTAGATTTTCAACCAGTCCTTCTGTCTCTAACCCCATCTTTAGCCCCACTTTCGTTTTACTTGTTGCTTCCAGTACCTGTACCTTTGAGGTCTTCTGTAGAAGAAATCTGCTTCTCTGCTTTTCCTTCAGCCAGTTTGGGGTTAAGCTTTCTCAAGTCTAGTGAATTGTTACCTTTTCTCCAGCTTTCTAAATTAACAAAATTTTTTTTATTGTGGTAAGATACACATAACATAAAATTTACCATTTTAACAATTCTTAAGTGTCTAGTTCACTAGCATCAAGTACAGACATGTAGTTGTGCAGCCACCACCACCCGTCTTCAGAACCTGTTCTTCACCCTGTCAGAAACTCTGTACCCACTAAATACTAACTCCTCACTCCCTTTCCTCTCCTGCCCTCAGCAACCACCATTCTACTGTCTGTCCCTGAATTTGACTCTTCTAGGTACCCCACATAAGTGGAACCATACAGTAGTTGTTTCCTTCGGGACTGGCTTATTATATATACACCACATTTTGTTTATCCATTCATCTGCTAATGGACACTTGGGTTGCTTCCGTCTTTTGGCTATTGTCAGTAATGCTGCTGTGAACATGGGTGTATAAATTCATTGTTCTTTGGGTATATAACCAGAAATGGACTGGCTGAATCACGTGGTAATTCTGTGTTTACTTTTTTTTGAGAAACTACTATATTTTTTCGCAGAGCAGCTGCACTGTTTTACATTCCTACTAACAGTGCAAAGGGTTCCAACTTCTCCACATTCTTACTAACATTTTCTGGGGTTTGGGGGTTTTGTTTGTTTAAGCGAAAACCATGCTAATGCATATGAAGATCTCAATGGGGTCTTGACTTGCATTTCCTTAATGATTCGTGATACTAAGCATCTTTTCGTTTATTTACCATTTGTGTATCTTCTTTGAACAAATGTCTATTCCCGTCTTTTGCCCATTTTTTAATCAGGTTGTTTGTGTTGTTCTTGAATTGTAGGATTTCTTTATATGTTCTGGATATTAATTCCTTAACAGATACATGACTTGCAAATATTTTCTCCTATTCCCTTTGTTGTTTTTTCACTCTCTTGATAGTGTCCTTCGTACAAAAGTTTTTAATTTTGATGAAGTTCAGTCTTCCCTTTTGTGGCCTGTGCTTTTGGTGTCATGTTTAAGAAACCATTGACAAATCCAAGGTCATGAAGATTTCCCATGTTTTATTCTAAGAGTTTCATAGTTTGAGCTCTTAAGTCTTTGAATAATCTTAATTTTTGTATATGGTGTGATGGGGGGGGGGTGGTCTAGCTTTCATCCTGTTGCATGTGGATATCCAGTTTTCCCAGCACCATTTGTTGAAAAGTCTGTCTTTTCGCCCACTGAATTGTTTTGGCATCTCGTTAAAAATCATTTGACCATTTGAGGGTTTATTTTTGGGGCTCTCAATTCTGTTCCATTGGTGTATATGTTTGTCCTTATGCCAGTAACACATGCTGTGGCTTTGTAGTATTGAAATCAGGAAGTGCGAGTCCTCTGACTTTTTTTCAAGGTTCCTTTGGCAATTCAGGGTCCCTTAAATTTCTACATGATTCTTAAGATGCATTTTTCTTTTTCTGCAAAAAAACCGCTTTTGGTATTTTATAGCAATTTCATTGAGTCTGTAGACTGCTTTGGGGTAATACTGGCATTTTAATAATATTAAGTTTTCTAATCTGTGAACATCGGCTGTCTTTCCATTTATATCTTTTAATTTCTTTCAGCGTTGTTTTTTAGTTTTCAGTGTACAAGTCTCACTTTCGTCGTTAAATTTATTACTAAATGTTTTCTTTTTGATGCTATTGTAAATGAAATTTTCGTGATTTTCTTTCAGATTGTTCATTGTTAGTGTATAGAAATGCTAATTTTTGTGTGTTGATTTTATATCCTGCTGTTTTGCTGAATTAGGGGTGTGTGTGTGGGG